TCTAGTGCTATGAATTTGAGTCTACTGATTACCCATTCATTTGTATAGACACACAGATTCAATAAATCTTTTGCGATGCTTGCATTTAGATTGAGTCACAAAGATATCTGCAGCCTTAATTCTGGCATGGCTGCACATTTATATACAAAATGCACACATACTCAGGCACACACACACACACAGATTTTTTTCATGCTGCCAACTTGTAGAGGTCTATTGAGCTGTTGTGTCCCATTGACTTCATGTAATTTAAGTCTATCATCCCATTTAGACTTTTTCCGTGCTAGTAGCATGCTTAAATATATAATTTATCTGTTGACTCTCTGTAGGAAAAAAATCAATAAGTTCACAGAGCAATCTTGTCATCAAGTTATGATCGCTGGGTAGTTAGAAGTGCTGTTTTGTAGCAGTAGAATACAACATGATGTGACATGGTGCTTATACACTCTTAAGCTGATGAAACTCCATTGATACAAGATGTGAAAGAGAAGTTGTGTAACTCTTTTATTTTAAGAACCTTTGGAGCTCCCTTAAATAGTTCAACTATATTGTTGCAATTAGAGACACAAGAATACTTTACTTGAGAAAAAGAAACAAGGGAGGGGAAGTTCATGGCTCAAAGCAGAGTATTCAAATGTTTGCCAACTCTACTGTACCACAATGTGAAAAATCATGCTTAACAAATCTGTAGTTACTGTTTCTTACAAATAAGAGAGGGAAGAAGCATATCACTTGATGTAAAGGAGAACTGTTGAGTTCAGGTTCTCAAATCCTTACATGTTTATACTAGGATTGTGCAAATCCATCTTTGGTTAAGTTTAGGATCCAGTTGTGTGATCTGCACCACATGTGATATATTTTAGATCCAAATTGGGAGAGACATTTGGAAACCTGAATCCCTGTGCCTCCCATGGACTTACTCTGGCAAAAGGATGACAGCTCTTCAAACAACACTGAGACCAGGGGCGGCTCAACCCATTACGCAAAGTAAGCATTTGCAGTATAGTTGATTTTGCCCAGGGACGCTCTTGAGGCGCTCTTGGGGGAAAATAGACCTTGACATGTGCGAGTTGTAGTTACTGGGATGTATAGTTCACCTACAATCAAAGAGCATTCTGAACTCCACCAATGATAGAATTGAACCAAATATGGCACACAGAACTCCCATGACGAACAGAAAATATATATCAGTGATTGGTTGATATCCTACCCATTAAATTTGACATTTGCCTTCCTCCTATAAATCCACACTGATCTTCTTTTATATATTTATATATAAATTTATTCATCCTTTTAGCCAGTATGGCAGTTAATATTTTTGCGTCTTGGTTTATTAATGAGATAGGTCTGTACGATCCTGGGTCTGTAGGGTCTTTATTGGGTTTTAATATCAAAGTGATCAATGACTGTTCCCATGATGGCGGAATTTTTTCTCCTTTTATTATTTTATTATATAGATCTTTTAATTTAGATATAAATAATGTTTTGAATTTTTTGTAATATTCTGGTCCCAACCCATCCAGCCCTGGGGTCTTTCCAGGTTTTAAATTGTCTATAATTTCCTCAATCTCTTTCTCTGATATTGCTTGTTCCATAATTAATTTATCTGTTTCTTGGATCTTTATTTTACAATGTTTATCTATATACTCTTCAACTTTCTTTCTAGGGGCTTCATTTGCTGTATATAGCTCCTGATAGAATTCCTGAAAAATTAGGATTTTATCCTCCATTCTCGTGCACTGTTTTCCATCTTTATCTTTAATCACAGTTATCAATTTCTTTTGTTTCCTAATTTGTGTTGCATTAGCTAATAACTTAGAGTTTTTATTACTATACTCAAAATACTCTCTGTTTAAATAAATCAAATCTCTCTGTGCTTTTTCAATCCCTCTTTTTTTCAAGTTCTTGCCTCTTTGCTATTAATTTTGCATAACTCATTCTATTTTGTTCTGTCATATATCTTCTCTCTAATTCCTTAATTTCTGCCTCTAGTTTTTTTCTTCTGCCTCCTGTTGTTGTTTTTAACTATTATATTCTTTAATGAAGAGTCCTCTGGCCACTGCCTTCATTGTATCCCATACTATTGCGACAGAAC